TCATGGAAGAGGCAGTGATATGTCCTAGTAGAAATAGTTAGAAACAGAAAGTCCTAAGAATTGTTTTTGGGGGCCCTCCCTTGTGGTGCCGGAATTAAAATGTCAGTGGTATCGAACTATCGCCAGTGACTGTGGCATGACTTCCATCCCAGGCCAAGGACCTGATCTACATGGCACTGCAAAACTCTCCTGTCTCACCTGCTGCTTCCCTCAGCAGTATATTTCAGTAGATCTGTCCCTTCTGTTTTCCAAACTGTCTCTAGTGAATATTCTCACTCCCTGCACCTCTGGCCTACACCCCAGTTCTTGTATGCATAAATATGTAACAAAGCATTGTTAACAGGTTCTTGGGAATAGTGACTTAAAAGGAGTTCAATAAAAACAACCTAGTCAAAAAATAGGCAAAGGAACTAAAAAGACACTTCTCAGAAGAAGAAATGCATTGCCAACAGGTATATGAAACAATGTTCAATAGGACTAGTTATCAAAGAAATGCAAATCAAAACCATAATGAGATACCACCTCACTCCAGAAAGAATGGCTTACATTTAAAAAAAACTGGCAACAACAAATGCTGGAAAGGATGTGAAGTTAAAGGAACCATCTTACACTGCTTTGGGGAATGTAAACTGTTCCAGCCACTGGTCCAGCGATGTGGAGAGTCCTCAGAACACTCAAAACAAGGATGGTGGGAATTTTACGGGGACTGTAACCAAGATGAAACTGCATACATTGTACAAAAATGAAAAATGATGTAAAAATATATAAAATAAAAAAAAAGAAATTCTAAAAAAAAAAAGGATCTACCAAATGATGCAGCAATTCCACTCCTAGGAATCTACCCAAAGGACACCAAAACACTAATTTGAAAGGAAACATGCTCTCCTCTGTTTATTGCAGCACCATTTACAATAGCCAAGATATGGAAACAACCCAAATGCCCCGAAACAGAAGAATGGATCAAAAAGTTCAGGTATATTTATACAATGGATTATTCCTCAGTGATCAAAAAAGACAAAAAGGAGGGGATGGGGGAGAGGCAAAACAGGGGAAAGATGAACACAAGGGAATATAGTGATGGTTCACAGATGATATGGTGGCGGGAGAACTATGGGACTAGAACTGGGTGTTATCTGGACAGAAATTATTTGCCTTTCCACTAAGCAAAAATCTGTGGGTAAAACCATATCTTTACAAAATCAATATAATTTAATATATATTTTTAAATAGTGATATGTGTTAAGTACTTTCTCCAAACTAATCCTTGGGTGGACTTTGCCCTCATATGTTGAAAGACTATTCTTCAAACCTTTTGCCTCTGAGTTTTTTTTTTTAAGTTTTATTTTACTTATTTATGCATAAAAGAGCTGGGGTATAGGTGAGAGGGTTCACCAGAGATAGAGTGGGGAGCAGAACAGGCGGATCTACTGAAATACACTGCTGAGGGGAGCAGTGGGTGAGGCTGGAGAGGTCTGCTGTGCCATGTGGGTCAGCTCCCAGGCCAGGGATTAAACTTGTGCTGCAGTGGCTGTTGACAGCTACATAGTGCTAAGGCTTAACCCCTTGTACCACCAGGGAGGCCCAAGTTTTGTATCTTTCTAAATTTATTGACCTTTTAATTTTCTTCCTGTATGAACTGTCAATTCATTCTATTTTTGCAATCGACTGTTCTATTTGAATAGGGCAGAAGAAAGCATGTGTCTATAGTTATTCATTCATATTCTTATTTATGATGTATTTTATTTTAATGTTTTCATCTTTAGTACATTTAAAATCAAAGAAAATTTTTTTGGTCTTTTGAATTCAAAAATTTCAGTGTACTTAATTCTATTTTCTTTTAATTTTTAAATTATCTTATATTTACAATTTTTTGCTATACTCAAAGAATATTTTGGTTGGTATCCTGTTGTTTCTTCAGGAGCAAAGGGTTCTAAACATATCTCTTTCTCTCTTATTTCTATTTAGACTCAGCATCTCTTCTAATCTATTTGTACTTAAATGTTAACATTTGACTTCAGTATCTGTCTTTTTATTTACTCATGTTTGCTGCTCTTAATTGTTTTTTGTACTTTGAACACATAAAAGAGTTATGTACATATTTCTAAGTTCTGTAATTATTCTACAGTAAACTTTAGAATTTTTAAATTTGAAAATTAGAAAATATTTTTTTCTCATTAGGGATTCTTCTGGATCATATAATAAAATAAACAGTATATAAAGTAAAATGACAAATCATAGTTTTTTTAAGAAAATATGCACCTGTTTTTCTCTTTCCCTCAGAATCCTCTGAGACTATTCCCTTGACCTGATGATCCCAGTCTGAGAATCCCAGAACTCTAATGCAGTGCTTGGCTACAATATCTAATATATGTAATTAGTCTCCTCTCAAAATAGCATTGGTTTATATATATAGCTCCTTGTACAGGAGGGTTGGGGGTGGGTGGAAGGATGTGGGCAATGCTTGTGGACGGGAGGAAATTTAGTGTGTGGCACTTCTCTGAATGCCTGACATTGCTGCATAAGATCTGTTGCTAGAATTGGTAGTGATGATGGTAGAGATGGCAGGGGGCTTGGAGGACCATATTCTCCCACACGAGAATCTTCTTAGGTTCCAAGGTAACAGAGAAAAAGGAGATAACTGTTGACCAGCAGCAAATATAAAAGGAAGAGTTGGGAAATTGTTTAGAGAATGACCCATGAAAGAAATTAATAGTAATATAATTATGATGATGATGAACAATAGGCATTTTTACTATTTGGCCATGCGTAGACCATCCATTAACTTTCTATTATGTCTTTATATATTTTCCTTTAAGCAAATCTTCCTTTCTGTGACTTCAAATTTTGGATGACTTCCAAATTTTGTTTTTAGCTAGAATAGTTCTTGTTTGTTGACTATTACAGCTATTTGAGAATAAATTACCCCCTTACTTTTGCTGAATCTTTTCTTAGCAAAACTACCTTGGTTTACTTTGGTTCTTCTCTACTCCTGTTAGCAACCACAGGTCCCCTTTTCCCCTGCAGCAATAATATGTGTTTAAATCTTTTATATGAAATCTTGGGTAAGTTAATGTATGTCTGTGTTAAATGTAAATGTATATTCACCTGAGTAAAGTGGAATTCTTTTCCCCCAGCTTTATTGAGATATAATTGATGTAAAACATTGGGTAAGTTTAAGGTGTACATTATTTTGGAATGCATGTTTAAAGTTCCTCTTTGGATAATTGTTTTGTATCATGAACAAATAGCCATACTTGCATGATGTAGTCATAATAGCACTGGATTTGCTGATTTTTAGTCTAAGATAAGAAACTATGTTTTGGGGTCTGTTATTAACTTCTCTGGACCTTAGAATCTTTATTTGCAAAGGAAAATCTCTTATTATTGGACATACCCACCTTATAATTACCTGTACCACTAAACAGGTAATTATAAAGAAGAAAATATGAAAGTACTTAGTAATATGGCTGAAACAGGCACTGTATAGTTTTCCAGGACTAAAATTCCATCATTATTACAGATACTTTTAAAATATCTACATTTTCTACATTTAAAAACCTACATTTTCTCCTTGACTCTAAGAATAGCATGAAATACAACTACTAATCCTGTCATTAAGTTTGAAAGATAGAAACTAAGGAAGTTTCCTTTTATGTTGGCTGCTGTTGGAACTATTCCTCCTTTCTGACCTTTCCTTTCATTCCTGTACCTTTACTTTCGCAGCCCTCTGCTATTGATGTTCCACCCTCCTCTTTTTTCAACTTCACCTTTTAGCAGCATACTTAGTATAGTGGGAACAGGTGGGCTTGAGAAACAGACATGTTTGGACTACATGGAATAGAAGTATATCTTCTGTGTGGTAAAAGGGTATTCCCTGCAAAAATGGGTAATAACTAGAAAGATTCATGTGGTCACCCAGAATTAGGGTGAGGGGACAGCAGACTTGATATGGGATCCCAGATACTTGGGAAGTTTGAAGCAGACAGCAGAGATAGAAGGATTAGACTGGCTTAAGGGAGATGAGGAGATAGGATAGAGTTAATGGTTATATGAAAACTGTGGTCTTATATTTGTTTATCATGAACCAATAACTTAAGTTTCTGATAGTTAAAAACAAAAGTTCACAAATGTCTAAGATTGGGAAGAATCTGAACAAATTATGTAAACTGATTTCTTTATTTTTTTACTTACCAAAACTATGCCCTATTCCCTGCTTTGCACATCTTGACCATGTCCTGGTTGCTAACCATCCTGTAAGTTACTATCACTCATTTTTATGTGGGAATCAGTGCAGATACCCTGTGTTATCAATATCTATTCCACATTTGCTTTGTTCTTGTCCTATCCTTGAGCTATTTCTAAGCCCTTTACCATGTTCTCTTCTGCTCACCTGTACCCTGTACCTTGACTTTGTATGAATTACAATTATGATTGTAGTTAATGGTGCAAGATGACTACAAGAGAAAAACTATGTGCCTGGGATGATGTAAAGTTAAGACATGAGATAACTCAAATGACTAGAGAATTATTTCATGAACAATTTAAAAATGGAATCAGTGAGTTCTGGGGCATACCATCTCCACCTGGTTTTTCTCTTTACATTGCACAATTTCACCTACATACCAATCCTTGTGTACACATATGCTATGTTTTCTTCCCCTAACCCCCCTTTTTTTTGAAGTAACATTGGTTAGAACATTGTGTGTGATTCAGAATCTACCATGATCCCATATTTGTTTCATCCCCTTGTTACAGCTGTAGAGTCCTTGAGACTGTGGTGATAGGGAAATTGCATGTGGATGTGACTCATCTGCCCTGGAGGTAACAAATAAATATTTTTAGTGATTCTAGGATACTGAGAGGGTGTGGAGGGAATGTACAGTCTCCACAGTGTGGATATTTTTGAATAATTAGTTATTATAATGTGAAAGATTATTAGCATTCTTATTTAGTTTCTTTTTCATAATCTTTATTTTGGAAACATTCCAGCTGATAAATCAATGGATGGAGCAAATCACTCTACAGTGTCAGAATTTGTTTTCCTGGGACTCACCAATTCCTGGGAGATCCAACTTCTCCTCTTTGTGTTCTCCTCCATGCTTTATGTGGCAAGTATGATGGGAAACTCCTTCATTATGCTCACTGTGATTTATGACCATCATTTACATACGCCCATGTACTTTCTGTTGGCCAACCTCTCCTTCATTGACCTGGGAGTTTCTTCCGTCACTTCTCCCAAGATGATTTATGACCTTTTCAGAAAACATAAAGTCATCTCCTTTAATGGCTGCATTATTCAAATATTCTTCATCCACATCATTGGTGGTGTGGAGATGGTGCTACTCATCGCCATGGCCTTTGACAGATATGTGGCCATATGTAAGCCCCTCCACTACCTGACCATCATGAACCCAAGGATGTGCATCTTCTTTGTAGTGGCTGCCTGGATGGTTGGCCTTATCCATTCCATGGCTCAGTTGGCTTTTGTGGTAAACTTACCTTTCTGTGGCCCCAATGTGCTGGACAGCTTCTACTGTGACCTTCCTCGGTTCATCAAACTTGCCTGCACAGATACCTACAGACTAGAGCTCATGGTCACAACAAACAGTGGATTTATCTCTGTTGGCTCCTTCATCATACTGCTCATTTCTTATGTGGTCATCATTCTCACTGTTCAGAAACACTCTTCAGGTGGTTCATCCAAGGCTCTGTCCACACTTTCAGCTCACATCACGGTGGTAGTCTTGTTCTTTGGTCCACTGATATTTTTCTATGCATGGCCATCTCCCTCCATACACCTAGATAAGTTTCTGGCCATCTTTGATGCTGTTCTCACTCCTTTCCTTAACCCTATCATTTACACATTCAGGAATCAAGAAATGAAGGTGGCAATGAAGAGAGTATGCAGTGAGTTAGTGAATTTCCATAAGATCTCTAAGTGACACGTACATTGTATGGAACCCTTGTTAACTGTTGGTGTTCATTATTGATGTTCAAACTCTGAAACTTTTCTTTGTCCTACCTTGATTTGGGTACACACACTGATACTGAGTTTATTTTGTTTTTCACTTAGGAGGGAGGTATATCACTTTTGAAAAGAGAGAAGTAGTTATGTATGGATTCATTATAGTCAAAGATTATACTAATCTTTAGCCTTAATTCCTAAGGAATAATACTTCTATGAAATAATTATTAAAAGTATAAGTACAGCATCTGTTTCAGACAGGAATTCCTATCCGTACTCAGTGGGCGATTGGCCAAGAGAGACTGAACTGTCTTCCACTATATGCTACAGATTGCTCATAGTGTTGCCCTCTTGTGTTTCTGCCACTTTTTGCTAGGACAGCAGAATGTTTGACCGCATACAATGGGTTTACATCTTTGTGTAGAATCCTTGTGACATGTTCTTAGACAAAGAACCGTGAAAACACCAGGATTTTTTCCTGATAAACATGATACTGAAATCCACTGAATTTTCATTTTCCCCTCCTATTCTTTTTCTACTCTACATTAAATTTATTGAGGTAAAGTAGGTTACATCATTGTATGTGGTTTGGAGGTTACAGGTTTAAATCTCTTCATATGTATATTTTTATATCCTGCCTACCACCAGTGACCCAGTCACCCTCTACCATGTTCCTTTGGGCCCTTCCCTCCTCTGCTGTTATCACACCACCTTGCCCCTTTGTTGCTTCAGTTGTGCAGTTATTATTAACAGTTTATTATTGGTTTGGTTTTATTGACCCTTTGTTTTTTTTTTTCCATAGTCTACAGAAAATTGACAGTATTTGGTATTTCTCTTTCTCCTTCTCACTTATATTACTTAGCATTAGCCTCTTCGGTTCCATCCATGTTGTTTCAAATGGCAAGGGTTCATTCTTTTTTTTATAGCTGTGCAGTGTTCTGTTATGTATATATATATATAACATTCCTAATCCACTCATCTCTCTTGGACACTTAGGCTGTGTCTATAACTTAAATAGGGCTAAAACTATTATATATCATGTTGGCTAAGTGTTTTTTGTATTCTTCAGGTAGATGCTTAGGAAGGGAATTGCTGGGTCATATGGTAGATCCCTTATTAATATTTTGGGAAACACTTATGCTTTTTTCCATAGGGTCTAGACAGCCTACATTTCTGTCTACAGAGGACTAGGGTCTCTCTTTCTTCATAATTTTGCCAACATTGTTGTTTCTGGTCTTTTTGGTCTGGGCCATTCTCATAGGTGTGACATGGTATTTCACTATGGTTTTGGTTTGCATTTCCCTAATAATAAGAAATGATGAACTGTTTCTTTTCTCATGTGCCTATTGGTCATCTGTATGTCTCTTTGGAGAACTATTTAGCTCTTTTGCCCATTTTTGTAGAGTTACATGAATTCTTTAGATATTTTGGATATCAGCCCTTTGTCAGCTGTGTTATCTGTAAATCTTTTTTCTTTCTTTTAGTATGATTTGTTTTTTGTTTTGGTTTGCCGATAGTTTCTTTTGTGCAGAAGCTTTTAGTTTGATGTAATCTCATGCTTGGTATCACATTCAGGTACATTAGATTCTGCAACTAGGTTACCCTTTTGTATGGCTGGCCATCACAAGATTTTCCTTTTGATTCCTGTACCATTTTCCAGACTGAATAACCCCCTATGTTCTTCTTAAAAAAAAGGAGTTTTAATTTTCTTTATTAACTATTCAGTTGTACAGAGTAGTAGATTAAAAATTAATTGGCTACATGGAAAATAATATATATTTACATATATATCAGGATTTCTAGAATGTCTAAACTGCTATATTCTGAATATGCAGTCTTCCTTCCAGATATAATTAGTCAAGATCTCTCTTTAGTTATTGCTGCCATAAGTCTGTTGCTGCTGCATTTGAATAATTTAAGTCATTACAATCCCAATTTTTGTTTCGGATGTGTTTTATTTCTCAATATATTCTGCTAATGGAAGTAGGGATTTATATCAAAATATATTGAAATTTCAGTCATAGCCATTTTAATGAAGAACATCAAACCCTCATTCTGCTAGAGATGTGGAACAAATGACTCTGAACCTTATACATCTTATGGTTGCTTTATACATATATAACTATGTTAAACTGACTAGAGTTTAACAGAATTCCTGTTGTCTCATAACTGGTCCTCATTTATTCATAATTTCCCTTACTTAGTATGTTTTATCTTTTGCTTTCCATCATCCTTATAACATTCATTTTTTTGAGTACTTTGCTGGACAATTGGAAATCAGTTCATATATATATATCAGTTTACTAGCTAGAACTTTTATATTCAACCTCCCTAGATTTTTTCTGGTATTTGTATTTTTAAATACAAAATTTCACTGGGCTTCTCCTGCATTGATTAAAGGTTCCATTGATCTAGCAGGGATTCCCAGACTGCTCATTGTTCATGTGTGATGATTCAGAAAAATGCCTATTCTTCCCACTCATTTCTTGTTTTGCCTTTTGTGAACTCTACATTTATGACAAGACTGATTCAAAAGTGGCACAGTGATGATTTTCTCTATCAACAAATGTAAGTTTTATATATAAAAAAACTTTCTTTTTTCTCTGAAGAGATTACTATTGTAGAACTCCTAATCTGTTTTCTGTCTAAAACAGTGACCTCTTTCTTCTAGCAAATGTATCTTTCTCTTGCAGGAACTATATGGTGTCATAGAAGATGACTTGTAGATACTACCTCTGGCCCCCTTCTGGCCAAAAGTTGGGCTTCTGACTCAAGTCCTATGATAGATGGAATGGTGTAGGAATGAGTCTCTGATAATTTCTTTCGCTGGGCCATATCTGTACTTTTCCCAGGATGTTGCACTTGATAATAGAGCAACAACCACACACATTTGGAGCTGACATATAGAAATGGTTGACAGTCATATTTCCTGCTGTCAGAAATCATTTTGGGGATAATTAAAAAGATATGTCAGAAGAAGATACAGGATTTAAAGACAGGGTCTAAATGGCATTCACGTTCTGGGTTTCTGTTTTGGGCATTCAGCTTCCTCCTTCCTTCTACTGTTTTGTCACTAGCTGAGTTAATAGATGAGCCTATACACTCATCAAGTTGTCTAAGTTTATTTATATTGTGGTTCTGTCATTAATTGTCAAAAGGATACTGATAATTCCATCTTTGATTCTAAGAAGACTGTACTTTCAATTACTGCAGGTGTGAAATCCTCCATTGCTTTAGATAACTTGAATGCCTTGGTAACTGAGCTGCTGATGCTACTACTATTATATAAAAAGTAGAAAGAATTTTTTAAAGGTAATTAAATAATAGCACTGGAGAATAGTGACCAGGTGTTGCTGCAGACACATAAGTATGCTAACTTAGCTCATGTGGTCAGGGGAATTGTCTCTGGAACCTAATTGGTTTGGTAAGAACAAATGAAAGAAAAATCTCGTAATGAGTTGGTGGAGAGGAAACAAAACTGAGCATGATCCCTTCCAGCGCCATCCATGTTGCTGCAAATTGCATGTGTTTATCTTTTTTGAATGCTGAGTAATATTCCATGGTATATATGTACCACGTCTTCTTGATCCAGTCATCTATTTTTGGGCATTTGGGTTGTTTCCAAAGCTTAGCTATTGTAAATAGTGCTGCTATAAACATAGGGTGCAGGTGCTCTTTGGAATTGATGTTTCTGTGTCCTTTGGGTAAATACCTAGGAATCTAGAAAACTTAAATAAGGGACCAGGAAAATGAATAACTATAAGAAAGTGAAAATCAAAATCAACAAAAAACTATGAACCAGAGACACTCTATGGGGGGTAGAGGGCGGGAGGGGAGGGATTGGGGTCAAAATAAGGGGGTTGCAATTGATGGGGAATATAAAAATAAAATTTATTATAAAAAAAAAACAACTGAGAATGGGTGTTTTAAGAGCATTGTTTCTTCCTACTTGAGTAGTCAATCCCTTAGCCAAAGCTATCTACCTACGGACTTGATGGTTTATTAAGATTTTTGCATGTGGAACTTTTGTATTTCCTGGGAATATAAGCAATAATTTATTTCAACTCCATCCCTTCCTCCCTGTTTATAATATCAAGGCAAATGATGTACATGATTGTTTATGATCCTCTCCCTTGGCTCCTTCTGTAGTTCAGTTACTTTTTGTTTCTGTCCAGATGGAACTCTTGACCCCTCTCTTTTTTATGCCTTTAGAATTTATGTTTGTATCTTCAACCTCTATTGGTTTAGTTTTCCTCCAATGCATTTCTCTTTGGAATGTCTTTGTGTAATCACTCCTAGCAACTTATTGGTGCCCCAATATTTTATGCAGTTGCTCTAGTCTAATTCTACTTGAGTGAGCATTAGAATATTTTATCACAAATCTTTGGCAGTGAACTGTTACGGTTGGTGGCAATGTGAACTGCTCTAGACCCTGTGGCAACCAGTGAGGCATTTTCTCAAAATACTAAAAATAGACCTGTCCTATTATCCAACAATTTTACTGGAGTTCAGGAAAGTAAAGAGGAAAATTGTCTCCTCCACTCTGTCATTGTATCTTAATGTTGGAATTTCTGACTAATTTATACCAGCCATTTGCCTTATTTGTATCATTTTTCAATATACCCTAAAAGAGCTATTAAGAAAATGGTGATTACAAGTTCCAACAGGTCAGTGCCTCCACAGGCATTATCTTGGTACTGCTGATCCTCAAGGAGACATCAATGAGGTTTTCATTGTTATATTGCTTTTAGGAGAGGGAGGGTAGTATGATATTCAAAATATGAAATAACTGCACTTTATAGGTACTGTCGAACTAGTACAGATGCTCATAATAGAATTGGAGTAGAGTTCTGGAGAACCTTGGTTCAGTAGCCATTAACCTTTAGAAATTGATTCATAAAGAATTCTGGGTAAATAACTTGGCAATAGGTGGAATTTTAAGAGACACCAAAACAAAGAGACATCCTACTGACTGGG